CTAATACATCGTTTGATTTCTTGACGGCTGCATCCTGAGTATTGATGATTGATCCAAGCAAAATGAAGTCTTTGACAACTTCAGTCTTTTCTCCATTTATATGGATGTAGTCTCTGGTAGCATAGTGGTTACGAATCGGGCTGTAAACCGCAAGGTCAGCAGTTCGAAACTACCAGCTGCTCCGCGGGAGAAAGATGAGGCTTTCTACTCCCGTAAAGATTTACACCCTCGGAAACCCTGTACAGGGTCGCTATGAGTCGGTTCCGACTCCACGGCACATAACAACAACAACAACAGTTTATTGGTCTAGTGGTGAGGTTTTTGTTTTCTTTACCTATATGGAAGGTTGTGGTCTTTAATCTTCATCTGTAAGTATTTCAAGTCCTCTTCACTTTGAGTATCATCTTCATATTGTAGATTGTTAATGAGTCTTCCTCCAATCTTGATGCCACATTTTTATTCAGATAATCCATCTTCTCAGATTATTTGCTCAGATTGAATTGCATACAGATTGAATAACTATGGTGAAAGAATAAAACCCTGATATACACCTTTACTACCATTTGGTGTTACTTTGTTCTGTTCAAACAACTACCTCTTGGTCTATGTACAGGTTCCTCATGAGCACAATTAAGTGTTATGGAATACTTATTCTCTACAATGTTATCCATAGCTTGTCATGATCCACATAATTGAAAGCCTTTGCATGGTAAACAAACATTTTACTGATAATCTCTACTTTCAGGTAAGAGCCATCTGACATCTAATAGCCGTCATTCCATGTCCTTGTTTGAATACAGCTTGAACCTCTGGAAGTTTTCTGTCAATGTATGGTTGCAACCATCTTCAGCAAAATTTTATTTGCATGCAATATTGTTCAATGATTTCCACATTCGATTGGATCACTTGTCTTTGGAATGTGCACAAATACAGATCACTTCCAGTCAGCTGGCCAGATAGCTGACTTTCAAATTTCTTGTAAAAATGAGTGGTGTGTCAGTTTGTTAAAAGATTTCAATTTGTATTCCATCAATTTCCAGTGCTTTGTTCTCTGCCAATTACTTCAATGCACCTTGGACAACTTCCTTCAGTATCATTGTCCCCTTATCTTATGCTACCTCTTGAAATAGTTGAACATTGACGATTTCTTTTTGGTACAGTGAGTCTGTGTATTCCTTCCATATTCTATTGAATCATTCAATATTTTGCCCATGGTTGTTTTTGTTAAGTGCCATTGAGTCGGTTCCGACTCACAGCAACTTGTTTCCAAAGAGTGGCTGGTGAACTTGAACCGCCAACCTCGCAGTTCAAACTGACCTTGCAGTCCAGCACATTAACCCGTAGCACCACACCAGGACTTCATTTTTCCCATGGAATCCTTCAATATTTCAAGTCGAGGCTTGAATTTTTTCTTGTTCCTTCAGCTTGAAAAATGCTGAGTGTTCTTCTCTTTTGGTTTTCTACCTCCAGGTCTTTGCACATTTCATTATAATATTTAACTTTGTCTTCTCAAACTGCTTTTTGAAATTTTTTATTCAGCTCTTTTACCTCATTTTTTCCGTTTGCTTTAGCATCTCTATACTGGAGAGCAAGTTTCAGAGTCTCTTCTGACATCCATTTTGATCTCTCTTATTTCTTGTCTTTTTAATGACCTTTTGTTTTCTTTTACTCTTCTGGTCTTTGGTCTTTAGTGTCTAATGGATCAAATCTGTTTTTCAGGTTTGTTGTTGTTAATGCTTACTAAATCTTTCTGATTTTCCTCTTTTTTGATGTATAGGTGTATTCTTTTTCTTTGATGTTACCCTTTAATTTGTTAATTTTTCTCTACTGAAAGCAGTCTGTTTTATCTTGAAATCTATCTGAATTCCTTGCCATTTGGAAGTTCTGTATCTACACGGTTTCCTCTTTTTGCTTTGTAGTTAACTTCATTATACATTGATATCTCTGGTTCTCCATTTTTAGTCTTGTAGGTTTGCTTTATTTTAAATACTAATAGATATAGATTGAGTTCTGGGTGGTGGTGTCATGTATGGTGATCTCAGGTTGTTGTCTACGGTTGTTGGTTCTCAATCCTTTAGCATTTTTTAAAAAGTTCGTTTGGTCATTACAAACTCATTTAATATCTGTTTGTCAAGAAATGTCATAATTTCATCATCATGTTTGAGGGGCAGCTTTACTGGGTATATGATTCTTGGCTGGCAGTTTTTTTCTTTCACAGTTTTGTATATGTCATCCCATAGCCTTTTTGCCTGCATGGTTACTGCTGAGAAATCAGAACTTAATCTTATTGGTTCTCCTTTGTAGGTTACTTTTCATTTTTCCCAAGCTGCTCTCAGGATTCTTTCCATGTCTTTGATTTTATAAAGTTTGATTATGATATATCTTAGTGATTTTCTTTTATGCTTATCTTTTTGTCTTTTATGATGTTAGGGAAATTTTCTTCCAACAACTCTTTGACAGTTTTCTCTGTGTTTGTCTTATTTCTGTTCTGGAATTTCAGTCAACCATAAATTGTTCCTCTTCATGGTTTTCCACATAACTGTCAGACTTCCTTTAGATTTTTTCCTTCTTTTTTGTTGATTGCTCTTCTAGCATGCTAATATTGAGAGATTTATCTTTAAGCTCACTAGTTTGGGCTTCCAGTGTTTCACATCTACTCCTTTCATGCATTATCCATTTCTGTGATCCTAATATTACTCTTCTAGATTTATAATTGCAGGTTGTGTATTGTTTCAAAATTTGCATTTCTCTTGTCTATTTGTTCTTATAGTGCTTTTCTGAATTCTTCTAAAGTTTTTATTGTAGTCTCCTTGCTTTCCTTGATCTTTCAATGATTTTTGAAGGTACATGATGACATTCTTTTGAATTCTTTTTCAGTTAGTTCCATTACCTTTTCTTCTTCAGAAATGTTTTCTGGCTCTGCATCTTGATTATTTGTTTGAGCCACTCCCTCTTCTTTCTTTGTGTAAGCTAA